CAGGGGACACAGCCCCCTCAATATTTACAACATGTGCAGTTGTTCCCTCCTCCATAAAAATATCAAATAGCAGAGGACCTTTATTTTAAGGAAACTTGAACACATTTGCACCATAAATAGATGCAAATAGGAACAAATTGGTGCATAAAAATTCACCAGAAAGCAGGAAATTAAGTGTTTGATGCTCACATTTTTTGGCAAAGGCCCCCAAAGTCAGTGGTGCACTGAATGTATGGTATACGGGGTATATTTTTAAAAAGTCTGTTTGCTTGTTAGTCCTGCACCTGTACTATCTTGGATGTGCGTGCTCTACCCTACTTTGTATACGGGGTATACCCACCTCCTTTTCTGGCCATTTACAATATACACACCTATCAGCCAAAAATGCCAAAACCAAAAGCCAAAAGCTGGAATACATAGGAGAGTATACCCACTTCCTCCTCTGTAACCTACCCATCAATGCAGTAGAACACCCACCACATTAACTACCACTACTACACTGCCCAAAGCTGAAAACCTATACCCTTATGTATGGAAAATCTGATATTCACACCAGACCAAGTACACCCCCCCTGTAGTGACAGCACCTCCTGATGGCAGTTACCTCTCAGCAGGACAATGTACCTTGCCACACCGCAAAAACTGCTCAAGCTCAAGGCCTCAACCTGGCCTCCAAATTCCCCAGATCCCAATCTGATCAAGCATCAGTGGGATATGCTGGTGCCCCACCTTAAAACCCACAGGACTCAAAGGATCTGCCCCCAATGCCCCATCGCTAGACGACACAGGATACTCAGAGAGATCCTGTGCCAGTGCCTCGACAGATCAGAGACAAGTCTGATCCAAGGAGGCCCCAAAGCGGTACCTCTGTGGTACTGTCATGTCCCACAGATGCTCGATCAGATTGGGATCTGAGGAATTTGGAGGCCAGGTTGATGCCTCGAGCTCTTTGTCACGTTCTGTGGACCATTCCTGAGCGTTATTTGCAGTGTGGCATGGTACACTGTCCTGCTGGTGGGGGCACTGGCATTGGGGAGTGCCGCTGCCATGAGGGGTTGTTTTCGGTCTGCTATGGTGTTTGGGTGCGTGGAGCATGTCACATGGCATCCACATGAATGTCAGCAGAACATTGTCATTTGTCTGTGAGCCATTTTCACATTCCCTTTCAGTCCAGGACTACAGCAAACTGCAGCACAAAACAGACTCACGCATGCATGTGTCAAAACATGTATTTTATTCATTTATCTTAAAAAATTAAAATAAAGTGCTTTTTATGTACAATATAATAAAAACAACAGTCACAATCTCAATGATACAAAAAATACAGTTCACAATGTTATTTATACACAACAAATAAAAAAAGGAAATCATGCAGGCAAGACCACATTTGTCTAATAGTTATTCAGTCAACTAAGCTTATGGTGTTCAGTATGCTGAGGCAAAGCTGTTGCTGTGTCTCATGGCTGAGCCGATACGGAGGATTTGGAGCTGTGCTTGCATCTTACTGCAGTACTACATCGTGCAGCACAAATGCTTAATTACTTCTATTGTGCCATTTCTTTGTGGTATGACCGGTGAAACAAAATCCTAAAAAGATGTTGCAATGAATTGCCTACTTAAGCTGTTTTAGGAAAACAGACTGCTGTAGATGTTCCACAAAATGTTATAGTTGGCTACATTCATGTCCAGTACAGTATGTTGCATTACTGAGGAGCCACTCAAAATGAATCACCGTGGTATAATTAGCTTTTTAATGAAAAGCACATTATTAATAAATATGCATTTATGACACCATTTTGGCATTATTAACTATGAAGATCAAATATACTGCAGCTTCAGCTTCACTATTATTACTCTTAAATATTGACCTCTTCACAAAGATGTCTCCTATGTGCACAGTTTTAATCTGACACAAGCAAAGACTGCAGAATGGTACAAGATTTTGAGGAGCTCCCAGTGTTATTGTTTGCAGGTAAAGTTAACGGTGGTTTGAGTGAATCTGTAAATCTACTGTTGACCCGTGTTGTGTTGTGGAGTTAAGTGTGCCCACGGAGGGCTACAATCACACCATTGACCACAGCTCTGTTGGTGAGGTCACTGCTGGGTAGTGTATACTGTGGCACGTGGCTAAAGGCAGAACAACTTGACATCTAAAGGCATTTTGAAAATGCTGTTGTGAGGTTATCCACCAAGCATCTGAAAGCAGGGTATTCAGCCTCCAGAGAGACATCTTGCAGTTTAGAGAATCTGCTGTCACTGTTTGTGGTGACAAACAATGCTCGGCACTGAGGCTTTTAGAGTCTGATTTGTTCTGGTTATGCATCTGTTGGCAAATGTTATACTCTTGTTTATTTGGTTAGTCTCAGCAAACAAGATTAAAGGAATAGGTGGACCTTTTTAGGAAATACAACTATTTGTTTTCTTGCTAAGAGTCAGATGAGAAGTTCGACATCACTCGTGTCTATACAGTTAATATGAAACTACAGCCAACAACCACTTAGCTTAGCACAAAGACAAGAGGCATGAGAAACCAGCTTAGGAACAAAATCTGCCTATCAGTACTTCCAAAGTTCACTAATAAAAATAACACATTGCGGTTTCACAAAGGGTTATGTGCCGGACTACTTCTTGGCTTCATGGAGTCTCACTTGGCTTCCTGTCAAGGTGATGACAAGATGCCAGGGTGTTACTGCGCAGGTTTTATTACCTTTGGACTGAGCCAGGTTAGCCACTTCCCCAATTTTAGTCTCAATGCTAAGCTAACCAGCTGCTACTTGTCGCCTCATATTTAGCAAGGGGCTGAAAAATGAAGCCAACATGGAAGTGCCAAAAACGGCAATTCCTCTAATGGCCACTTGAGGCTGGCTCCAGAGGCGAGTCAATCCCCTTAGACCCCCAAACTTCACAGCAGATGGAAACATGTTTATAGCCTGGTACAAACAATGGTTATGGTCTCTATAAAGTGTTCCAGGGGTGGTACTGTAGGCCGACATCAAAGTTAGCATCACCCTAGTTCCCTCCGCGAAAAGTCAATGGGATTTTGCATTGGGTTTTGGATTATTGCATAAAAAAAGCTCTGTGGCAAACACAAGTTTATAATACTTATACAGTTTGTTCAGCAAGATAATCTTCACAAATAAACACCACTTTTATTTTTTGTAGTGTACCTGCAATTGCCAGAAGTAAAAAGCTAACTTAAGGCTATGAACAAACGACAATACAGTCGCATGATTTCAACTGGGCCACAACGAAGCTGTAAAGCCGCGTTCAGCGTGATGACGTTCTGTAGTCTCATTTAACCTCTTGTTAGCAACCACCTTTTTTAAGACACATTTAAGCTTCAATATTCACAAGTTGGGTATTTACTGACATATTTAATGACGTAGAACAAAACATGAACGTCTCTTAAGCTTGTGTTAACCACAGACCCATTAAAAAAAACCCCAATCAATTCAAGACAAGGGAACCAGGAATGCTAAAATGCTAACTCATTTCCAGGTTTTGACTCTTTGCTCGAGCACACTATAGCTATTTTTCCCCATTCGTGACAACTGTACGTGGGATGAATTTTTATACAAGTCATCATGGGCCCCTTGACAGTGCAGTGACAGGCTGTCTGCGAGGCGTCGCTACGGTCTATGAGTTAGATCCATAGCAATCTAGTAACATCTGACTCCAAAAAAGATGTTTCGATGCTTCAAAACAGAGGTCCACAAACCAATGGGTGATGTCATGATAGCTATACAGTCTATGGTATTTTATACAGTCTGTGGTGCAGACATGAGAATGGTACCAATCTTCTCATCTAACTCTCAGTAGGAAAGTGAATAAGCATACTCCCTAGAATATCAAACTACACCTTTAATTCAGTTTGACATGGAAATAAAAAGAGATACCCCTCCTGCTTTGACATGCTTGATAAAAACAAGCCCAGGTGCTGAACTAACAGCATGATAAGAGATGTGCAGGTTTCTGTGCAAGATTTGAAATGTATGCTGAAGTAGGCAGTAAAGCACTATGAAAACAAAATATCAGCAGTGTTCACTCTCTAGTTTCAAGACTATCTCTACAACACATCTTGCACAAGGTCCCTTGAAAAACACACAATATTAAGCACAGATACTGTATATACACAACAAAAACTAAAGAAAAAAAAAAGGAAACACTGACCACTGTTGCGCAGTATGCTGTGCAATTACTTTGTCACCTTGTAGCAGTTACATAGCATTTCGTCATCTGCTCAGTGTTGGAAATAGCAAAATGTTTATTCTGTATGATACTGGAATATATACTGTAGGCTTACTTGATCAATACAGTGAATTGGTGATGTATTCTAAGACATGTGGTGCCATATTGTCTCTATGGCCGTGTAAATGAATCTCATTCAGATTTACACAACACCATCAGCTTCTTACATCTTTGGGAAATTCTGCTTGTTAAGTCTCAAAAGTCTAAGCGATGTGGGTGCAAGAGTGTTTGTAATGGCTGCACTGGTCCCTGTAATGACTGATTTCTTAAAAATCAGCATCCTCAGCAGCCACACCTTCGGTCTCTCAGTAGTTGCATTTCTTAAGTGTATGCTCCGATTTTACGGACGTGTGCAAACCTATCAGTATTCAAGACCCTGATTACTTGTGCTTTCACATTAACGTCGCAATGACATCTGACTGAGTGCGGGGAACATCATGTATGTAAGAAATGCAACCTGGAGGAGGGGAGGGGGTTAGATTGAGCTAATACAGCGCTCTGTGCAGCTACACCACTACATAGTGCAGCTGCAGTCTGGACAAGATAACATGAAGTATTACATCTCCACTAGTGTGACAGTTATTATTGGTTGTTTTTTTGACTTTTTCAATTTTGAGTTATTAGCGCTTAAATTTACCAAGCAGTTTGTGTCATTAGCGTTCGTCAAGCTCAAATGTCTCAAGCTCACTGTACCTGTATGCGTCAGTGGGTACTAAGAAGGCAAATAACTCATTTAAAGCTACCGCAGGTAACGTTTATAAAAAATAACTTAGTCATATTTGCTGAAACTGTCACTACATCCTGACAGTAGTACATGAGACAAATAACCAATGAAATAATCATGTTCCTATGGCTCCTCCGAATGCTCCTAATGGCATTTGCATGTGTCCACCACACCTGAACTCGTATAACCAATCAGAGTAAATGTTGGTCTTCTTCTATGGAGGTGAGCAAGCCAGTCTATTTCTGTTTACATGTCTTTACCATATGCTTTTGTTAGCAGCTAAGCATGTGCACAAGCAGTGATTCAAATGCTTTAGAGACTCCTCCTGGCTCTGACTGTTTGTTTTGGTGGTTGGTTCTGGTGGATTCTCGCAAATGCCATAAGCAGCACTAGGAGGAGCCAAGCAGCAACCTCTGGGGCTGAAAACCGAAGCCAACGTGAAAGTGCCAAAAACTGCAGTTCTTTGAATGACCACTAGAGGCTGGCTCCAAAGCCAGTCAGTCTCCATAGACCTCAATGTTAAAATGCCCAACTTTTCAGCAGAAATTAACATGTTTACAGCCTGGTACAAAGACAGTTTTGGTCTCTGTAGCTAATTTCAACATTCATGACAACTGTACGGGGGGTGAATTCTTATATAACTCACTCACCGGTCTACATTTTATTAAGGCTTAAAGTTATGCATTATTAAAGACAGGCTGCTTTGTGTTACAGGCTGTCCACAGTGCCAGCCTCTCACCCAAATAGGGTCACTTCTGGATCCAAAAAAGCGAAGGTGGCGACTGACGAAGTCCGAATGCAAGGCTATAAAACAGGGGGTCAACAAACCAGTGGGTGACATCATGTTAGCTACATCCATTATTTTTTCAGGCTATGGGAGGCACCAGAGGATTCTGACTTATCACAGATTATATGTCTCATGTACTACTGTCAGGATATAGTTTCGACAGTTTCAGCAAATATGACATAAAGTTATTTTTATAAAAGTTACCCAGTGAAGCTTTAAGGGTACCTGAAGGAAAACTGGAATATTTTCTCACCTGACACAAGACAAGCTTTCACATGAAGCAATCTCTGTGACATATCCTTTGGCCCCAGTTCAGATTTTACACAAATGTTTTGCCCAACACAGTCTGAAAAGTTTGTTTTGAGCTAACAGTCTTAGAGAAGTTTCCAACCTTGCACTTCACATTTGTTTATTATTAGTGCCACTTTCTGAAACCCACCTCTGGTTCCGTCACCATGTGCTCTTCGACACTGATCAATGCTAACACAAAGCATGGGAGTGGTCATAACTGGATGGCAATATTGCATTTAGATAAGACAATCAAGTTTTGTTTTTTTTTGGCACAGTGCACATGATGATTTCAGTGCTGCCCTGAAGATGGGAAAGGTGTGGACGTCCCCTTTTTTTTGTGGCTTTCTGTGCTTAAAATATCCCGCCTCCACTGACATAATGTCAGGACTCTTTTCCATATTCGCCTCAAAAACAGGGTAATCATGTCTCCTGTGGTTTTATGAGCCCATCATGATACCTGCAGGTCAATACTGAAGAACAGGGCTGTCTCAGATGAGCAGAGATGTAGAGCAACAGGTTCCCTAGATTGTCCATGGTGCAGTAAGGTGTGAATGAAACCTTTGAACAACAACATACATTCAGGAGGTAAATGTCAGTATTTAGGCCCTGGAGCATAATTTATGATCACATTTTTTCATCATCTTTCAGAAGGTTGCAGTCCTTTTAACTGTTGTTCCAACAGCGTGTTTTGTCTTCTCCAAGTATACCTCATCTTTCACCATCTTCATCCTCATACAATCATTTATTCAGCAAAATGTGCTTCTGACTTGCTCCCATAATGTGTGGATCATAATGAATATGAAATACATGTATTATATTCTCCTAAACCTGAACTCTTGGTCACCATGTAGCTGTAGCTTGGTTCTAGTGTGCATAATAACAGTGTGGCCTCTGGCGGCCATCTTCTGCAGAGCATGTGGAAGGTAACACACACTCACATAGGGCTGGGAAATGTATTAATATTCACTATTTATTTGTTTTATTATATCATGTGATGAATATCAACTAGACATTTTAATGTTGGATCTTGCATACCTAAAGAGATACTGAGATACATACTGATATTAGAGGAAGATCCTTTGTTTTTTTTTTCTCTTTCTCATATTGCCCAGCCCTACACTCACACACATTAGCGGCCATGAGAATGACTCAAACAAAGACTGTGTAATAACTATTCTGAGCAGCTGCCATGGTTGTTGATTCTGGCTGAAACTGCAGTGTTTTGCTGCCTCCTCTTCCTGCCCTAGGCAGCACACCAGATCAACCTGTGGCTTCGGAGTGGAAATGGTTAAACGAAATGCCCTCTGCACTGATCACAGAACAAAAGATGACTAAAATAAAAGATGTGCTGTGATGTAGAGGGATGTCAAGGTCTCCTCTCCTCTGCTCGGTGGCCTGTATCCTTCACGGAGATACAGGGTGGTATCTTTTAGCGAATACTGTGCTCTCATACGATAGAGTCTTTGATCTCCGAGCCTAGCCTCACCCTGGGCCGGGGGCAGGTCGGGGAGTATTCCACGTGGCTCTCCTTCAAGTTAAGCGGCCGCCTGTCGGAGGCCTCGGAGAAGCTCTTGCTGTTGTCTGGCGAGGACTCGTGGGTGGGCGTGCTGCAGATGTAGTTGTCATTTAACGTCTGGTAGCCCTTATGATCAGAAGTAGAAACAGGGATGGTGTTACCATTTAGGGGTAGGCTCTCAGCAGGCTTTCCCACAATCCTCGGCTTCTTCTGCTGCATGTTCGGGCACTCGCCCTGCTTCAGCATGGACTTCATGTGGTCCCGGTTCCTGTAGATGACGAACAAGGAGAACACCACCAGGGAGAATGCCAGCAGGGCGCACACCACAATCAGTTCGTTCCAGTACGTCTTTGTGTGGACCTGCTCAGAACGAGACTCGCCGGGCAGGATGATGGTCTCCTCTCGCTCAATGTGCGGCGTGCGTGAATGACCAATCAGAGTGGTGCTTTCCTGACGGGGCTCCGCCCTCACGCAGTAGTTGGCCAACAGCTGGCGGAAATTCTCCTCTTCTGACCAGCACTCGTAGGTCTCCATCCTGTCAGCCTGTGCCACCACCACAAGGTTTCCTTCTGGTGTAGCGTAGAGGAACTGGCTGGCGCTGTCACTGTAACGCCACCTCCTCTGTGCCAGGTTGGACCGCCGTTTACAGGGCAGGACTCGAAAGGTGTTGGCTGGGATTGTGATGAGCTGGCACTGAGAGCCACCTATATATCAGAAAACAAAACAAGAATAGTTTCAAGTCAAAACACTATATTTCTTGAACAGTTCAAGAAATATTTTGCTAATTACATATGGAATAAGCCTGATTTAAAGGAATAGTTCAACATTTTCAGAGCACTGATGGTAAGTCCGAATTTCCAAGTTTCAAGTCAGAAATGTCAACTGGAACATCCCCTGAAGTCGGACTTCCCACACAGAAAGTCCCGGGAACCTCACCAATCTGGCATAAAAATCCAAGATGGCTGCTCCATGCACTGATGGTAGTAAATGCTGTAGTAATATACTGTTTATTAGCTCTCCTGACTTATTTGTGTCTCAGTGAATCAGTTGTATGCTCAGTGCTGTCTATCTTCTATCCGTAGACATGTTGCTAGTGTGTTTGTATGTGCAAAGTACAGCATAATGCCTTATTTACTGGCATTGCTAACCAAGGCTAACCTGGCTAGACAAGGTATTGCTAACAACATCTTGGTTTTCCTACTTGTTGCACTGGAATGCGGTCAACTTGACTGTGACATCATTCCCAGGTCCGACCTCCGACTTCCAAGGTAAATGAAACGCAGCATGATACCACTCTCACATCTGTCAGCTAAATATGAAGCCAGAGCCAGGCAACTGTTAGCTTAGCTTAGCTTAGCAAAAAGACTGGAAACAGAGGGAACAGCTAGCCTTGCTCCGTCTAGAGGTAAGAAAATCTACCTGCCGGCACCTCTAAAGGTAAAGATAAGCTGAGAATTAAGGGGAGGTAAAGGTGCTGGTGAGTAGATTTTTTGAAAGTTTAAATTCCAGATGCTGCTTCCAGTCTTTATGCTAAGCTAACTGTCTTGGCTGTAGCTTTATATTTAACAGACTTATATGAGATCTATGTTTCGATCTTGTCATTTACTATAACTACTAAGAAAGCAATTCATTTACAGATTTGGTGGATAAGTAACTTCTAAGTGTATTTACAGTAACTATATCACATCATATTGTACACTTCCGAATTCAAACTACAATTTACACGAAGTCGTACACACAGAGCTGCTCGGTTTTATCTGCAATCATATACATCTGCAACAACATGCGATGGATTCCTCTCTGACTCCTCTATGTGCATGTTATTGTGGTGTCTGTACAAAGTGAAGACACTCACGAGAAGCTGCTGGTCTGGCAGATCTGCCGCTGAGAAACGTCCTGTTACAAATCGCTGATGTATCGGCCTCCTCCACATCCTGCTGCCAGTGACTGAGACAAAACATACCGAACAAAACAATAAGGTGAGGGATAGCAGCTGTAATGAGAGGAACCTTGTATGGATGCACTCATTTAACTCTTTTAAAGTCTGTCATTGTAACACCTCTAAGTATAGCTTCACCAGTATGATGAAGACAGCAACTTCTTTTAAAAGCCTCTTGTTCGAGCACATGACTGGGAGCTTTGCATGCTTATTTTATGGGTTTGTTTGGGTGCATGCTCACATCTAACACAGAAAAAACACATTTGAAGTCCATCTATTGAGGGGGCTTGACAAACAAATACAGCCTTTGAGCGCAGACAAACAAATTAAAAGTAACATTTAGCAACAGTGTAGGAATTTGTGACCGTGTGTGTGAGCTCTCACCTGTCAGGTGGAGCCATCCTCACGTCCCGACACAGCCGTCCCGTCCAAGCACAGTATGGGTCTCTGGACAACACACACTCTCCACAGCTCAGGTAGTTGGAGCAGTTGGCCACTGGAACCTCCACCAGCCCAGAGTTGGACGACACAAACAACAGACCCTGCAGGAGAGAAAAAACACATGTGAGTCCTTGTGATACAAATTTCTCATCAACAAGGTTAAAGGCCGAACAGAACTTCTGCTTTCTGTTACTTATTTCTGATTTCAGAAAGGGAAACCATGCTAAAACAATTACTTAGGACAAACAGAAGAATATAACCTAAACAAAGGACTAACTCTTGCCAGCTGTTCGCTCAGTTGATGCCAGTCAAGTAATTTGCGGTCAAAAACACATGGCAACAATGTTCAAGCTGTTGTTACACGACATTGTCCTCATTTTTATTTGTTCCTTTGCTTTCTCATCACTTTTCACTTACCTATCAGTGCTTAGAAGTGCTACCATCCAGAAATGCATTTTCACCATGACTGTGTCACTGATACTGATGTACAGCACGCCCCTGTGTTCCCAAAGGCCCAGTTTATATTTAGGCCATCTTATCTACCAGTATATTAGATAGACATCATGTGGATTATGTCTGTCTTTCATATCCCTATTTGGAGCTAAGAATATACTCACAAAAAGTATCCCGGACTTTATTAGAATTACATAATCTTAGATAAGGTTGCTGTTTGGCTGCTTCGGCCTGGGAAGAGGCCATTATGTAATAAAGAGAGAAAGGTAATGAAATTTGGCTCCGGGTAAAATGCCAGGGAGGATCAGAAACTCTGTTCCAGACGGTGCTATAACTTACAGGAAAACTCAATGGAACGGCCCCTGTGGAAAGAAAACGTCTGCAGCCAGCTTGTGCTCCGGTAAATCGAGCTCGTCCGTGTTTTTATTACTTGAAAATGAATTTGAGTATGAAATGAGTAAACATGACAAAACGTTGAATATAAACTGACACAAACCAGCATGACAATAATGACTGCGGATGGGTTTTGAGGTGAAAGAGCTGTGACTTACCCTCTGAGGATCCAGTTCGATGTGCTGCACAGGCTGAGGCTCAGGAAACAGAATCATCTCCTCTATGATGTGCATCTTGTCGTTGGCGTTGATGGCCTTATGGAGCTTTCCATCATCTGGAAGACGCAGGGGACAAATGGAAGTGACTTATATTGAAGGCAGGGGGCAGTTTAGAGGAGGACAGAAGCAACGTCTACTGTTTTAAAATCACAAAAGCATGTGATTTATGCCTGAAAATAGTGTATACTTAGGAATCTTTTTTTTCCTTTTAAAGATTAATGGAAAGCCTCACATAATAACGAACTGTAGTTGTGCAATGAGCTGTACCTGTTCCGATGAAGAGCACGTCATAAGCCCTCTCCATGCCTTGGATCTTGTGCACGGCGATCTGTGTGTAGCGCACGCTGCGCTTCAGCAGCAGGGGAGCGCTGCGGATCACGCTGTCCATCAGGAAATGGTCCTTGACAAAGTTAAGCACTTTATCAGGCATGTGCAAAGATGACTGGATACCCATTTGCCTGGCGTGGTTGGTCACACACTGTAGGGGAGTAAATTAAGAGATGAAAAAATTAATCTCTGCTTGTTGAGTAGACCTCGAAATACAAACATAGAATAAGACAGGGCATGGTATTGACCTGCATGTAGCTGTCTTAACGTATGAAGTGATTCAAGTTTGGAGTGAGGTATCATTAGAAAGTGAATACAGTTGTTATGTACAGTAGCAGGCCAACACAGGCTTTTATTAACCATGGTTTCTGAGTTAATATCTATTACTTTAATGCTGTGAGGCTTTTGTTTTGCTCCTGGGACTTATGAAGAGTTAAGCAGAACATCAGCGAAACACTACGTTTGGAAAATAAAAGAGCATCTGCTTTACATCATGCTCGCTTGTTGAACAGTCCAAAGAAAATCGGCCCACAGTTACAAGTGAAAATGTTTTGCTAAAGACTGTATTGTACATAATTTATAAGCAAGATAACTAAATAGATATTTGAGATGATAAAAAACAAAGCTGTTTTTCATTTAAGTGTTGAGTGAACTGACTGAACAGAGACTGATGCTACTTGAATGAACAGATCCACAGACTGAACTAAAAGAAGCTGAATTGCTGTGTTTGTCACAGGAAATTGCCTGCAACACTCACCGCCCCGGGCCGTGGCTCTGGCACTGGGTGGTTGTAGGTGTACCACTGCTGTGTCTCCCTGTTGACCTCTCGGTAGCGCCCGCTGAAGGCTCGTTCCACCTGTGCCATGGTGAATGCACACACTGCTGAGCTGCCTGATGCTCCTTTATACCTGTGGACACATGGAAAATCTATATGAAGCCCCCGTTTACCTTATTTTTTTTTTTTTTTTTACTCAATCCATCCTGAATCCTTCTGCGTTTGTTGTCACTTTATTCAGTAGTGGAGCATCGACTCCTGACCTGAGAACAGTTGTAGAGTGGGCACTTCAATGATTTCCATATTCAAACCTTTATTTTGTTGATACATTAATTAGACATTACGGTTGCGTGAACTTATGTTAGTGTTTTAGCTCGTTCCAGCTGCTCTAAATTCAGCGGAGCCAAGTAAGAAAAGGCAACTTGCCAAGTTTGAGTGCAGTTATTAAACAGAAACTGGCTCAAGATGGTGTGTGTTAGCTGCGTGTTTGAGCATAAATATAAACTGTAACAGCGCCATAAATCAGATTCATCAAAGTGTCTGTATGTCACTGATGAGTGATCAGAACAAACGCCTCCATTTGTGTCTTACCACTGGGAGGTGAAGACGCCGTAGAAGACGGTGCTCTCCCAGCTGTCTCCCATAGGCTTCAGGACGAACATGTCCTGGATGATGTTGAAGGGGAAACCGTCATCGGGGAGGGAACACAGGAGCTGGGCCTTCAGGAAGGTCGTCCATTTCTTCTGCAGCACCCGCTCGCCACCTTTATCCCCCTGCAAACAGTTATGTATGTTATTTTATGTTACAGAAGACTTTATGTCTCATATAACCATAATTTACTGACAGCCTGTTTACAGTTATCCCGACAACCCCCCCCCCCCCCCCCCCCCCAAAAAAAAAAAAAACAGGGTGAATGAATTAGACCCTGGCTGATGAAGATTCTGAAGTCTGTCCCCAATTATTCTCACTGTTGCAGCTGAGTGTCATTAGTGCAGACATTAACGATTCTGTAAAGAATATATGATTATGATACATTGAATATAAGACTGCAACCAATTTAGAGCTGGGCTACATATTATCTTAAAGATCCCCTCCAGACATTTTTAATAAATTAAAATGCTCTTCAAATAATAATAATAATAATAATAATAATACACAACAAAAACAACCTCAGTCTCAATTAATATGCAAATAGTTTCAATTTCACAAGTTTAACTTCTGGACAAAAGATTTCTCCTTCTTTCACTCTGAGCTTATGAGCACTGGGGGCTTCAAGTCACACACTAGACCATTACTGGCTTCCAAATTAGTTATGATGTCACATAATCATGCTTGTATGTACACGTGTCAAACACAGATAAAGGAGTATATCATTGCTGGAAAGATGGTCTTTATATAAAACTAAGCTGTCTATGCAGTAGAGAGGTTTAAATACTTTTCAAAAAGGTGCTACATGACCAGAGAAAACAGGGGAAAAGGGCTGGGGCAATCACTTTTGCCCAAGAGGAGGAAAACCTACAACTACCAGAATGCACTGTGACACATAGACCAATAAATGCTCCGGCTCATGGGTAACATAATGTGAGCTTTTCCTTTTTTCACAGGAAACAATATAGCTGCTGGCTGGTAACAAATTACATTTTTCGTTTTTTTTTTGTTTTTTTTTACAATACAGGAAACAGTATGGTGCCTACTTCCTGTTCACAAACTCTTGTATTACAGCCAAGCGGCCACCTACAGGCAAAAAACGAAGCCAAACATTCATGACAACTTTTATGGGGGTGAATTTTTATATAACTCACCGTTTTGATTTTATTAGACCTTAAAAGTTATGAATAATTAAGTGCGGGCCACTTTGAGTGACAGGCTGTCTGCCAACAGTGTTCTCAGCTTCTCAGTCAGATCCATCCCTCTAGAGCTCCAGCTTCATGCCCAAATATGGTCACTTCTGGCTCCAAAAAATTAAAATAGCAACAGCTGATATGTCGAACTCAAGGCTTTAAAATTGGAGCCACAAACCAATGGGTGACCTTGTGGTGGCTACAGCCATTATTTAACCATTATCTATGATTACAAATTGGAAATAGGCACTAAAGTAGTTTTACTGTTTGACTGGTATTCAACTGAGTTTTCAATCTGCTTCTACACTCTTTGTGTCTGTGGTGGGCACACAAAAATGTGGAAATAAAATCAAGCAACCCTAGAGCGTGAGAAATTTGAGCCGGTGGAGGAGCAGGGAAATCTGGGTGCCGGTGAAATGGAGGGAAGTTTACCATAGTTTATTTAGACACACTACAAATATTGTTGCTACACAAAGCTGGTTGAAAGTATCCCTTAAGGTGAGCACAGAGAAACTTTCTTCCTTCAGCAGATTTATTTCTAAATCCTGCTCGTAAATCATTCTGCAGTCCTCAAACATCCAAGAGAAGTAACAATAAGCAAAACACATTTCTGAGTGGAGGGGAATTTAAATATGCTGCACATATAGCTGTTAGAAAGTTTAGAAAAGACCTGCACTACTATAGTATTAGAACTGCAATCCCTCCTTTTTGCTTTAGAGGGTGCTGTTGAGGTCAAAAAAAGGAATCTGAGAGTGGTTACTGTGACTTTTAAGTTGCTTTTTTTAGGTTAATAAACTGAACAAATAATTACAACCAACCAGGATTTTAATGCTCTGCTTTACTTCCAAGTATTTAAATCCTTTCTTGTGGTGCAGCATGTGTGTGCTGCATATACTACACTACAAAGAGGATATTTTGACAATAAAATGTGGGTAACAAAAAAGTTCACATAAAAGAAGCCTCAGCAGAAAACATCGGCTGCTCTTTGAAGGAGAGGAGATGGTGAAATGGAAAATAAACAATGGTTACTTATTAATTACAGCTTTGAAATCAACATCAGTGGTTCAGTGCCTGACTTCTCCTCCGAGATAGAGAAGAGGCATCCACTCCTTTTGAGCTGTCACTAAATATTCACATAAACAGTTATCAGACAACTTTGCTAGGACTAGCAATTATCAAAAAGCTTGTAAATACACACCAAAAGAAACTCCTCCCAAATACAGTCGAGCAAGCTGGAAAACACAGGAGGAGCCGGAGGAGGAGGAGGAAGAGCGCGACCAAAACAAGTGGTCTCGCCCAATCTCAAGACAGTTTTCCTGCCTCAGATCCAAACTATCCCATCAGCACGGCCTGGACAACTCCTACATAACAGCATAAGGAGTGAATCACCCTTGAGGACACAAAATGCAAAACCATAACTACCCCTGTTTCCTCTTCTGTATGCTGCACAAACAATCATGTTGCTCGGTGCTGAGGTGAAACCTCGTGGGACAGATGCACGGCCTGGGAGCCAATTACCAGGCTGTGGTAGTAGCCTGTCCACATAATGAGGAGACCACATTCCTGCTCTCTCAGCTGTCCACCGCCGTTGTTGCTGTGCTCTGCTGAGCAGCTTGTACTCTCAATCGCATCGACCACCCCCCCACCCCTCCGATAGTTGCCCTCCAAAAATATACTCGCTTCTTTGTGCTGTATTTCACCGCTTTTACAATTTATCTGAACTTCACATTTCAGATTCGTCACGTTTGTCAATCAGAAGTGGATGGACAAGGAGCAAAGAAAACGGTGCCACGCAATGTTCAGTATCTGCCTGCTTTCCACAGTCCCTCAGTGTGCACACCTGAATAAACAAAAGAAAGAGGGCGTGGAAGAAGGGAGGGGGGCAGATAGGAAAGAGGGGGAGGCAAAAAAACTTCTTCGGAAGCAGAATTACTTGGCAAACTAAAGTAAAACAGTAGTTAAAACAGCATGAGAAAAACTCAAAGGGCTTTGATTTATCTTATCTTAGAAGGAACATGTCATCTCTAAAAGGCTGTAAAATGTCTGTTAAGATGAAGCGACTCATCCAAAATATTTCAGATATTAAAGTAAAAGTGTATTCAAACATATTCGGGTTTGGCCAGGTACACAGAGGGAAAAGGGAGTACATGTTTTCTGTCAGTCTGCAAGAGTGTGCTATAGATACTGAACCGCTAACAGGGAGGGGCCCTCATACCTCACTGTTACCTAACTCTAATCTGAGTTCAGCACTTTCTGCTATGTGAAGGAGTTCACAGGGTGTGTGTTCAGATGTGAGACACTATTCTGAGAAAAGAAGGGTTGAATATGTTAACACTTGGGGCAATGTTATCCTGCAGAAACAGAGGGACTGATTAGACTAAGCTGTAGTATTAGGCCAGTCTTAATTTTGATCTCAGAGTAGGTAAACGCAGGAGGTTTTATACTGCGAGGTGCACCTAACCCAGGAGTGTGGGAGAGAAGGGAGGGATGTGAGGGAAAGACTTGGATAGGTGCACCTGAAAACAACAAGGAGTTAGTTATTGTGGTTTGGCCCGCTCGCCAACAGGATCAGCAGTGACAGCAGCAGTGGCACACAGCTTATGGAGCAATTATGGTACTTTAAAACCCTTAGAGCCTGATTGCAGCAATTTGCGTCTCCTTCTCTGAGTCATGACTCAGTCAAATCTAAATACACAGACATGATACACATATTTTTAGATTCAGTGGGACTTGCGCTTTCAGGGGATGTCATTATCTCTGATGTTCATCACACATAAACGTCCATAAATCTGCTTATAAATCACAAAAATACAACTATTATAACTCCAGAGCTTGCCTGAGAATCATCATGTTTTAAACTTTCCTTTACTATCAAAGTATTACAGTGATAGTTTTCTGTACATCCATGAACATGTTGCAAACAGAAACTGCTGATAGGTAATTCAGCAAACTTTTAATGTTACAAATTTGCCAGAATGCAAACAAATTAAGCTGCAAACATGGGGTTAAAGTTGTAGCCCACAGCATAACCACTGACTGTATCAAAGAACGGATGTAACTACTGTGACGTCACCCATCAAGTTTGTGGACTCCCGTTTTTTAAGCCTCGAGTTCAGCATTATGGCCATCGCCATCTTGTCTTTTTTTTTTAGCCCGAAGTGACCATATTTGGGTGTGAGGCTGGAGCTGTTCATCTGACTGAGAGGCCGAGGACACAATCGGCAGACAGCCTGTCACTCAAAGTGGTCGCATCCTCAACGCTGGGTAACTTTAAGCCTTAATAAAATCTTAAGTAATGTGTTATATATAAAAAAAACACTCCACATACAGTTGTCATGAATGTAGAATTTAGCTATAGAGACCAAAACCATTTCTGTACCAGGCTGTAAACATGTTTATATCTGCTGTGAAGCTGGACATTTTAACATGGAGGTCTATGGGGACTGACTGGCTTCTTGCCCCGGCCTCAAGTGGCCATTAAAGGAACTGCAGCTTTTGGCACTAAAACATCAGAGAATACTGCTTGTGCGTCACTTACTGAATCTATGGCAACATTACACTTCCTGTTAACATCCTCCAAAGCATTATGGGAACTGTGGTTCCCTGGGATGACGGTAAGGAACAGTTGTCTCATTTGTGTTTGAGGGGGGTCCACACTGTCAGACTTCAAAGTCTAGTCCAATGCCAGCTCCATAAAAAACAAAGTCTTGCTTGTTTTAAGCCCCAAAAGTTAGCCATCCTACCTCCAGGCTATCTCTGAACTAAGAGCCATGTTTCCATGGTAACAATCAGTGATGCTTTTGCTTTTTTAATCTTAATTTACCCAGAGTACATAGAAAATGTGTCCTACTTAAGACCTGGACAGCTTTATGCAACAGATGAATTTAGATGTCCATCTTAAGTGTGACAATTAATTAGATCACAGTCAAAGTCTATTTTTATGAAACCAGCCTGCTCACTCATGAAAAAAAAAGAAAAGAAAAGACAACAAAATTACAGCTACTCAGGTGCACCACATGATGAGTTTTCTGAGACATGAACAAAATTTGCACAAAATCAGCGGTCAGTAGGTGGAATTCCTCTGCATCATCTCAAGACGTTGATTTGTTAATGTTCTCTCGCTTTCACCAGTAAATTGGGGGAATAAACCACCTGCATCACTACTGTACTGCCACAGAACAGCGTCTGAAAAGATGCCAGTCAGGAAAGAGAGGGCTGCTGCATTCCAGAGAAATAAAGGCGCTTTACAGAGCAGAGAAAGCCATTCTTCTGTCTCAATTGCACAGTTCATCTGCAGCAAGTTGCCACAGTTTGGGGGCCTTTCTGTCAATGATTTCCATATATAGAACCCAGGAGGTGCTCCGCCGGCTGCGAGAGGTGTCGCAGCACCGAGTGCCAGAGCCTAGCAGGACTAAGTCATTAAGCTGTCACTTAAGATTACATGCTGTCCCCACGATTACTCACATTACTGCCTCCATGAACAAGAGGCATCAGTCAGGGAGGGATGCCAAGCGCATGTATATCAGGCAGCTTCATAGCCGTTTAATTGATCTGATGACAGGTGAAAAAGGATAAAGTCTGCTGTTGATTATTCAGGGTGATCGACCAAACTAAACTCTTGAAGAGAAGGAGAAGGAGAGGGAGGAGGAGGAGGCGGAGGGGAATGACGTCGGCAGTTTAAATGATGCGAGTGAATTCTGCAGTTGCTACAGTTTGCATGCTTCGCCTGCAACAAAAACAGGCCGTATAGTAGAGTGGAAAAAGCATTTCATATTGCTGCGAAGCACCCTTGAATACTAATAATGCCTGCAGAGCTCAAAGCGCTGGTGGAGAAAGGCAAAGAGCTGGAGGGATGGACGAGTGCAGCTGACATTGTGAGGGAGATGGAAGGAGAGGGGGAGATGACATTGCAGAGGAAAAAGGGAGGGAGGGCGGTGTGGTGAGGAGGAGAGGATGATTCAGGCAAGGGGAAACCAAATCTGTTGAAAACATGTTTGCACAGTCAAATAGAAAAAAGCTTTAATGCACCAGTGACATGTTTCCATTGCATCCATATGGGCATGACATACAGTTAAATGTGACCGAGCGTGCTTTGACACGGAAGTGTCCCGCCTTGTTTTGAGGTAATTGTGTCAGGATTAAGCAGAGGAAGCTCGAGGCCCTGCTGCGCCTCTTATTTTTGTGTGTCCGTCTCGTGTGATGACCTCACCCCAACCCCAGGTGTCTTACCTTACACACGCGAGCGATCCTCGACACAATGGTGTTGTCAAAGAAGTCGAATTCTTTTCCCGCCTCGCTAAAGAAGAAGTAAATCTTGTCGTCGTCTCCCACGGGGTTGCCTATTGGTTGACTCTCCTCGATGTAAGCCGACCCGACAAAGACTGGATCTGTTAAAATAGAAGAGCACAAAGGAGACGTGTGGTTAGAGAGACATGTTATACCTCTGTCATCTACGCAAGGGAACTATTTATTACTTTGTATTGTATTGTAGTAAATGTGGAAAGAAGTCAGAGTTCACACAGGAGAGCTGTGTGTACTTTGGGTGTTTTTGAAGTGCATGTTCTGCGCCTGATAGGACCGGGCTCCCTGCAGTCTAAGAGAACTTGTCTTTGCTCTCCGTCTGCATGCATTAGCAACTGTGCCTCGCTAATGAACGCTACTTTTTGGAGCTTATCTGCTCTGTTGGGTCCATAATGGAAGATGAGTAGAGGGGGATAAAAAAAATAAATTAAAAAAAACCACAGTCTACCATCTGATGGTGTTTACCTTGCAGCCATTTTAAAGAGTTTTCCGTCTTCAGAGCAGTTCCCTGACCCAAACTCTTGTAAATGACAGGCTCGTTCCCTTGGAAGTTGCTGACAGTACCAGTGTACAATTCACCATCTGGAGGTAGACAAAGGAAAAGATTGCAGGATTTTAAATTAAGAACTTGATTTGCTATTAATTAAACATAATAAATTACAAAGCAATTGTGCGCTGGGGGCTTTCTTAACTGCAACAGATGAAGTCAGTGATAGTTTAGAGGGAACTGAGAGCAGTCAACAGAGCCGTCTCAGAGAGGGATTAGAGAAATCATTTCTTCCACTCATATCCAGCTCAATTATTCGCTAATTGCTTGTTAAAGAAGTTGAACACAAGCGGCGTCTGTTGGTGTCCGGCTATTTATCAGAAGGGCCGCTGCAGACAAACAAACATCAGCCGGCACATCATGACTCATTACTGAATCAAAGTGGTAGTTAACATCAAAGTAGCTTCGGAAACAGCTCATAATAATACCTTGTACTTTGCGTGCCAATGTTTTAAAGCGACATGGAGAGAAAAAACAAAAACAGAATGATGAGTGCATTACTACATACCAACAATGATGGCAGTGGATTTGTACTCTGGATTAAAGGGGCAGCGACTGCGCCCATCTTCCATCATGACCTCGCCCACTTCATCTCTCTCCAGCGTGAATGTTGACGTGTTCTGGAGACAAGACACAAACAGCAAATGTCCCTCAGGCACAGTCCAATTAAATCCTACTTACAGTAAAAAGTGAGCTCAGCGATCTCAAGCTCGTTCTCTCCACTTCTTCATTACAATATACACAGCGCACTGACTTTGAACTTACAGTAGCTCTGTCTGCCAGGGTTTTAGGATACAGTACGTCAGAGGCAGCTATATGTTAATTCTATAGTGGAAAGATCTAAGGCTAGTTCAATCTAAACCTTGTTCATCTGACATTAAAGAATACATCATTTGATATTCTTTTTTTTAATGTTAAATCCCATGAAAAGACCAAAACCAATAATGATTTTATCCTGCTAACAAGTGTCTGTGTAGCCAAAGCCTGATTTATCTTCAAAAACACATCACTGAGCTTCACTGCAGCACTGGATGACATGTTCCTTCATCACTATGAACACAGTTACTGTACTTTATTACGAGTCAACCCCACATACAGCACCCTGTTACCATAAATGCTCTTAATGTGTATTAATCCCTTGCTTAAAATAGTCCCCAAAATGCAGTCTTTACTCCTGTTTAAGTATGGGAATGTTTGATAAAAACTGCAGTGACCAGCTGTTTCAGGACATTACTGAGCCTTAAAAATAAGAAATTGTACATTTGTGACCTGTTTTTTCAAAGATTTAGGTCATAAGTGGCGACAAACAGACACGAGCACGGAAGTATCAAGGGATGGACTTAAGCACTGTTGAATTTGGTCTTTTTGTTGGATTTGTTGAGAATAAAAAATATATAACAACAGCAACCAAATCTCTTAAATGTTCCTGTTTCAAGGTGCTTTCAGAAGATCAGTGTTCAGGCAGTTCATATGGTTTACCCCAGAGGAAAACTTAATTTATGATAGGACTTCACTGATAATAAAAACTAAGATTTAGTTACAGGCGCTGTTAATTAACAGGCAATAAGAACATATTTTGTTTGTTTATTTCTTGGTGCCTGAGGCTGGTTCATATACATATAATATTATTGCTCAGGTACATTTACAGTGAGTATGTAGGTCAATATTCAGCCTGTGAAAACAGTTGTATAATGTCTTCTTTGGCTCTGGAGGAGCTTTGCTATGTCTGAGAGAGACTGACGTCACTTGCTTAATCTGTGTGTTGGGCTTTTTAACAGAGATCCTGCTCTACAAATATAGTGGGCAGGGAGTTATAAACATGTTGGCATTTACCAGGCAGAGAGGGTGTAATGAGTGATGCAATCATGTTGCATTATGGCAAGAGTGGGTGACGTCTTTAAAATTAAAAATAATTTGTCCGACCAACAGTCCAAAACCAAAAGTCAATTTACGATGACGTAAAAAAAGAAAAAAGCAGCAAATTCTCACGGTTGAGAAGCTGAAAACAGTTAACGTTTGGTCTTTTTGCAGGAAACTTTCCTTACATGATTCATGGATTATCAAAATTGTTGCTAATGACTCTTTTCTTTGACTGATTGACAAATCTTTTTGACTTTAAAGTGTAAGATCCAATATCACAGTGTGGGCCAAGTCTGTAAAAACATGTTTAAAGGAGAAATTCACATTTTTTTCAAGTCTTACTTAAAACAAAACTGACATGCTTGTATGTAAAGTAAAACAGCAAAGATCTAGTACCAAAAGGCCCACAACTTCTGCAGATACATAATTTATCTGACTCATATTAGCTTCAGCTAAGATCAATGCATTTTGCTACAGAACAAGACAGTAAATTTTGTTCCCCATCGCTTACACTGAAACTGCTTATAGAACAGATCGCTTGGCAGCCACTATAGAGAGGAGGAACAATTACACTGAGCAATAAAGCATATAATGCACATATGGGAACTTGAGTATTGCATTAAGATAGACTTGAAAAAAATGCATGTGGGCAATTTGCCATCACAGCAATAACTTGTTCCATTTTATCAAATCAAACAGGACAGTGTGGAGTGCCTCCGCTGCCTGGAAAATCTTCCCATGCTTCATCATTATGAGTTGTTATTATACTCAGGGCTTGTTTTAATCCATGTCTGTCATCTGATTGTTTAGTGTATCTTCTTGGCTTCAGTGTCCTGTTACTCTGCCCGTAAAACCCCCATGAGACTGTTTTCAGAAGAGCTATAAAAATAAAACATTTATTAATGTTAATATTATGCATCTCAAAGAGCGTCAGGGCACTCTGGGTGACACGCACACACAGACACAGAGTTCTGGTCTCTGTCAACATGACGAGTGTTCGCACAGACCAAACGGGCTCAGAGCTGCTTGGAATCCCAGTTCAGGGCCTAAAGTCCTGCCAAGTCATCCACAGTCTGAGACGTCCCTTGTTTTTCTTTCACTCTGACGTCAGAGTGGAGAGTTTAATGCCCCTCTTTAAGAGCCGCGCTGTCGCCAAGCTCGATTGCCCCCCTATCACTGAAATCAATGTCATCCTGTTGCCAGTTACCATCACTCCTGATTTACTCCTCCGCTAGATAAACAGATCTCCTGCTTCCCTCTTGCTGGAAACCACACAGCTCGTGTACCCCCTGCTGACTTGTCTGGCTAAAGTGCCTCAGCAGCATTTGGTTACGCTTGGATAAAAGCAGATCCAATACTGACATGGTGGATAAAAGAGCTTGATTCCTCAAGAACACCAAAAAAAATTTAAAATTCAAAGCTGTGCTAGTGAGAGAAGTGGAGAGAAATAAAAAAGCAAGAGAGATGACAGGAGAAAAATCAACTGTTGGAGGTGAACAATGGGCAGATTGAGAGGTCATTACTTACTATGTAGGCGCAAATAGGACTGAAGGCATAGGTGCCACACACATAGAGATGAGTGCTGTTCAGCCGCAGGAGGATTTTGATGTAATTGAAGCAATCAGTCTGGATGGGGAACAAATGGAGAGAGTGTGAGGTCCATGAGTGCACAAGATACTCTCACAACTGAATGTGTTTTTCTTGAGAGCTCCTTAAATTCTGTGCCTGAAATACTGCAGCTTGTAATCATAAGTAAATCTTTTCAGAGCAAAAAAAAAAATCCACAAATTCTTCAGAAACGGTTGGATAGAAATTGTTAGAAACATAAAAATGTTCCCTTTTCCTCAAATGCTGTTGGGAATACCTCACAGCATCAAACAGCAGTTGCCTGGTGGGCTTTCTGTAATACACAGACCAGAGTTGTACACTGCAGTACAAAGATTACCAAGGTTTGTCGCCTAGGGATACAACAGCTGGCATGACAACAAGGTAACAGACAGACAGAGAGAAAGAAGCAGTGCACAGAAAAGAGCAATTCCCTGGCGACTGTGCACACTTGATGAATCTATTTGTAACTGGTGGAAAGGTTTGTCAACACAAAACTCAATGCTCATTTTATCTTTTCACGACACCAGTGAAACAATTCAGAGAAGACTGCAAGGAAAGAACAAACACCCTGTACAAGAAAATCTATGCTCTCGATAATGTCATAATATAACTATCTTCCTGGGGTACTGCTGTTATTTGGCATTTTGCTGGAGCAGTATAAGATGCCTCTCACCTCCAAGTTCTTCCCTTTGAAGCTGCATTCTTCTCTCTTTCCAGCAGGAGTGCCCCACGTCAGCTGAGGATGAAAAAGAAGAAACCTCGAGTAAGTCATGCCAAATTCAGGGAACCATGGAGTCAAGTGAGCGAGTATTTAAAAGGGACAGTTCTTACCCGTAGTGCTATTTATCAATCTAGATTGTTTTGATGTGAGGTGCCAGGTGTTGGAAATATTGGCTGAAGAGATGTCTGCCTTCTCTCCAGTATAATGAAACTAGATGGCACTCAAGTTGTGGTGCTCAAAGTGCCAAAAACAATAAAATAAAACACATCTGAAAAACTGAACAGTAATTTCTCTTTTCAGAAATCATGGCATGATAATCCACGACCTTATTGTGAGCAGTTTCATGTAGGAACTACTTTCTTTCTACCAAACTACGCCTGCCAACTGCATCACTGCACAGGGGGAAGTATGCATCTACTCATGGAGGAGAGGCTCATGCCCATGACAGCATGAGATGTAAACGTTAACGGCATCCTCATCTGCTGAGCTGTAACTTTAGCTAGCTCCCTAGTCATGGATGGATTATTTAACAGGCTAACCAGACACAGGCCCCAAGTGTCAGGGCACCTGCAAAATGTCACTCAAATTAACACATACCAACCAGAAAGAGACACAAAAAGACCACAAAGAGATGCAAAAAAAAATTCCCCAAAGATGCACAAAATAACTACAGAGAGACAAAACAACCAAAAAAAACAGACACAAAATAAAAGAAAAAAGACACAAAATTACCTCAAACAGTCACAAAATGATGACTAGGAGACCCATCAAACACAAAAAGAAACTACAAGAGACACAAAATGACCAAAAAAGACACAATGTGGCCTATAATTACAAAAAGTGGCAAAACAATAAAAAACAGACACAAAGACCCCACAAAAACACAAAATTGTCTCATATAGACACAAAATGACAACAAGTAAGCACAAATTAACTGCAAAAAGGGGCAAAACAATCAAAAAGAGACACAAAATCTGTAGGTGTGTTTTTAATCCTTTGTAAAAAGGGAGGGGGTTGGGACACCAGGGGTTTCCCAGAGGCCCACTATCTCATGATCGACCCATGTCAGTGGTGCTACATGAGCTAGCAGTAGATGCACGCTATCCTCTGTGTAGTGATACAGTTGGCTGGTGTGGTTCAGTAGAAAGAAAATAGTTCCTACATAAAACAGCTCACTACAAGGTCTGTGGATTATCTTGAGTAACTGGGTCATGATTTCTGGATAGAGACATTGTTGTTGAGATTTTTAAATGCATTTTTTTGGCACTTTGAGCACCATAAGCCGAGTGCCACCCAGTTTCATTATACTGGAGAGAAGACAGACATGTCTATGGTCGATATCTCCAACAATCAGCAACTCACACCAAAACAATCTAGACTGATAAATAGCACAGCAGGTAGGAGGAAAAATATGTATGTTTTGATTTTGGGGTGAACTGTCCCTTTAACTCTGAGTATTATGTATTTACAAACCAAATTATTAACTCAGATAAACTATCATCTAAATTACTCATGAAATGACATTTTTAACCGTGACAGTAGTGAGAGTAAATTATCTGCTGGCCCACTTCTTCATGGCAGTTTTGACTGATAATTTACTTGGCTTTTCGACACACTCACGTTCTTCTGTAGCTTGGTCTTGCTGATGTCCGAGAGGCTGAGGGCAAACAACGCCTCCCTGGCTCCGACGTACAGCATGTCATCTTCCTGACTGAGCAGCAAGGAGGTGTAATTGAAGACACCGTCCGCAGAGAATCTCTTGGCCGACCTCTCCTTTGCGTCTGGGAAGCAGCAGGGAAAAAACACACACTGGGGATTAACATCACATAGCAGGACAGAACAGTGAGGAACACACTGGTACAGAACATATCCTGATGCTGGAAGTACAAAAACACACAGAAATAGGTCCCCAATTATAACACTCACAACACTGCTCACAATAAGACGCTGTTTTTGCCTCTGCAAAGACAAAAACAATCAATGATTTCCATATCTCAGAACTAAGATTTAAAATGCATGTTGAGGGGTGTTTAAAAGGTTTCAAGAGTTCCTGAATTTCATCTCTATCAGAAAATAAAAACCCATTTTATTCCTGTTATCAGATACAAAATGATTGGTGTTGTGATGATGCACAAAACAGCTCAGTGGTGTAAGGTAGTTACAACAGGTGCCAGTGTACACTATTATGACAGGCCCTGGTGCATGCTAGTTACTAGTTACGTGCCTCAACAATCCGGTTTTATACATCCAAAGAACTTCTATAAACAAATGAACTGCTTGGCAACCAGACTAGGCGTCTAATAGAGACAGGCCTTTATTTGTCAAAATGTGCAGCCACACCGGGCTAGTAAAAGAGACTGGGCGTTTTATTGAAGCATATATTTACACACTGTGTGATACATTGCTATGGACCATTTTACAAAAATAAAAATAAATAAATAGAAACTAAAAAGAAAGAAAAACATGACAGATATGGTTTCCCCTTTCTTAACGTGTTATAGAGTAAATGGCATCATCTTTAAATTAATGTGAGTTCTTTAATCACAGGCATATTTCTAAGGTGAGAATTTGAATTACTTGCAAGGACCCGTTTTCTGCCCAACGTGTTAATGGAGGTCCCGCTCTCTCTTTGGGGCCCCTCACCTCATGGCCATGGGCCCCCGTGCAATGGCCCTGCCTGCACTGTCTATATCTACACCCCTGTCCAAGCTAACTCAGGTGAAACCTTTAGAAAAAGAGCAGTTCATTTTATCGTTGAAGTAAAGGTGATGTATAAGTGGACGCATCATTAGAAACATCTAATCTTGCCAGGAGATGGTTCAGTGCAGAGATATGAGAACCAACAGCAAACATCTGTATCTCATGTAAGTCTATGGGTCTGATTTATTGAGCTAATTAGCCAATTACTGAAATCATTACAATCAATTAATTGGCTCAGTTTACTAGAAACAATATTATCATAAGCAAAAGCAAAGTGCAAGTTCAATAATAATCAGGCCACAACTGAAAACATAACATTGATTCAAATAAATATATTAATGTGGAAAAAACAATAACAATAATAGGTTTGTGTTGAATCCAGGCAAAGATTACTTGGAAGGGTCAAAGGGTAGCTCATTACTGCATTATTACACACATCTGTTAAACAGCAGAACAACCCCTGACTACCACATATCTACACAGAATAACTCACAATGCCTTGGCCAAACACAAATGTACGATCAGAGAGGCAGCAAAGTCTAAAGTCATGTTTCACTATTTCCAGTTCTCCAAGGAAATCTTGGAGCCTCCTTCAAGGCCTCACAGAGAGCCACAAATCTAGCAGGAAACAAGAACAAGTGGACAGACATCACATTACATCCAACTACAGCACAACACATAGCGGTAAGCGTCAGTCAAATGGATTTATGATACAAAGGGGAAAACTCTCATTTCTGTACCCCTCGCTCCTGTCCTCTCTGTTTATCCTCCTCGCACACAGCTGCAGCCAGCAGCTACTGTAGCTCCATGAGAACACGTCACACGTACGCCACGGAGCCACGTCCGCACTTTTCCGCGCTGGCCGTCTCTCTCTGTGCTCCGCTCTGCGCTGGCAGCAGGGTAAAAAGCTTCATCCACTCAACACCAATCTAAATCTCCTTCATTCTGCTGCTCGCCAACCCTCTTCAAATGGATCCCTTAAGCAGTGGGCCACGAGTCAAATGAGTTACTTTTTCCCACGTCACTCCCCTTCCCTGCAGCCTCAAACAGTTCTCGTGATGAAGTGGAGATTCGATGTACACATTACTCCTTTTATAGCATTTCCCTCGGCATTGCAAACAAAACAAGATCCTCTACAGTGGCACGAACAGTGGCTTTTTTTTAGTGCTTTCTACTGTGTAAGTGGAGTTTCAGGAGGTTTGGATTGATTTTTGGAGCAGGCAATGGCTCTGACAATTGGTCACTTTTCACTTTGACTTACTGTGTGACAACTTGCTCAAATGACCCGATATAAAAGCCAACAAAGGGTCCAGGAAGACATGATTGCAGTTTATTCAAGACCTTGATATCCTCAGAGAAACAGCAGCTGAGTTGGGGTCCGTGTGGATCTGGATGGGTGGGTGTTATCTCTTGATATCTATCAACAAGAATAACAATCTTCTAGAGGTCAACAAAGACACGGCATATATGCAATCAAATATTTGTGCATCCACTGCTTACATACTTCTTACCCTTTGCAGTTTTTGACCATCTTTGTAAATGTTTATCTATTGCCTCCCATTCCAAACATATTAAACACACTCAATGTGCTCCCCATGCCAAAACGCTGGGGGTCACGGACTCCATTTGCTTGTCCAAATAAGATTACTGGCTCGTATCTGGAGTGGTCAACACTAATATTTGCTGCAGTTAAACCGATTACAATATAACCAGCAAACTGCATTCAAATTCAGACACTTCTGACAGTAAGAAAAAGACACCAGAGGTACGTTTATCTCCAACACTCCAGGTGGTTCATGATGCAAATGGAGCCAGTAAACAGCAATAAATGTTTACAACCCACGACTTAAACTTTCCAATATGCTCACAAACAAATGGTTCATCTAACACTCGAAGCACTTTTGGCAGATGATGGCTTTCCCCTTATGGGAGTGAAAGCCAGCTGCATGGGCCCCATCTTGTCCAAAATCAAATCTTAGGCCCTTTTCAGATCAACAGCCCTCATTCTGTTTAAAACGTTGTGACATCTGGAGTCAATGAAGAGAGGGGCCTCCCATTAAAATCCAGGGAGGGGATACAAAAATTAAAAAAAGACTTCCTATTGTCACAGGACTGAAAAACAGTTTTCCAATGTGGATAAGGAAAAACTGGTTTTATTTCAAGGTAAATTTAGGCTGTTAAAAATGTCCTAAATGCTCATAAAGAGCGCTATACTCAGTCCCAGTGGACCCTGCTGATGGCAGACAAAGGAGTGCCATCTCTCCTCTCAACAGGGGGACATATCATAGCTTGACTGTCACGGCTCCCCTGAGTTTTGGCCATTCACTGGAACCAAAAACAGCCTTCCCTCAGCATATTAAAACTCTCTGACATAAATCGCAGTGACATCCTCTTAGACAGACAATGGATTAACGAGCAGAGGAGAGCAAACTCATGAAACTTTTACTCAGAGAGCAGTCTGGGGCTACTTAGCGGCAGGGTGTGTGTGTGGGGAGGGAGGGGGTTGAGGTCGGGGTATTGAGTGGGAGTTGTGGTAACCAGGAAGATTGGATTGAGATGTTGACCTATGAGGAAACATGCAGACAAGGGAAGAAAATGTTATTTTCAAAGCACTCTGAGATGGATTTTTGATAAGAGCAGAAGGTCAAGCCAGTAACAAACGTCAGTTGTGTCAAGCTGCTGCGATCTCAAACAGAAACTCAAGGATTTCTCCCTCTCTTTTTCATCTATAGCTGTTGGGGGATTTTTTATGCTTTCCGATGCAGCAGATCAGTTGTGTGTTTTGACATGCTTGTAGCAGAATGCCGGTCATCTGCAGGCCATTTCACAGCCAGGCACCAGATCCATTTATCACCCGCCTGTTTAATCAGTTGGCTGTCACCAAGCCGGGGCCCTCAACCTCTACTAATGCTCATCACATCGCACCTTCCATCAATATGGCTGCTTTATTACCGGTGTTAACATGCTGAATTAGTACCACAGGTTCTTTGAATTTCAGCTTGGACATCAAACTTTGTATATTTGCCTCATTTCTCTGTGCTTATGAAAGCCTACAAGCTGCAAAAGAAATTGTCCAATCGTCCAAACTAGAGCACAGCGGCACACTTCAAAAGACACATTATTTGAGGGCGGTTTCCAGTTGAGAGATCAGGTTCTGCATGCAATATTAACAACATTCAAGAAGTGAATGTCTTTTCTCTACCGGCTGATAATAACCTCTCAGCAATTAATTGAGTGAAAATCAATTTTGGCAGTGTATTCATTGTATTCATTCATTGCGATGTTTTTTTTTTTTTTTCCAGTGGGGGTAAAGATGGCAGGAACAAATCATATCACAGAGTATTTCAGAGAGCAGCTGCCCCATGATCACAGAAATGTTTGTGAGAGAATCAGACTAAATCTGTGCACACACAGTGAACAGATACAAACTTCTTGAATCAAAGCAGATATACATGAAGGGAAAGCTGTGCACTTTTTCCATATGTACTGTATAATATATTCCCTTCCAACAAGTGTTAATGTAAGCTGCTTTACTGATAATAACAATGTTTTTATTGCAACATACACTGACTCAAAGAGGTGCTGGGAGACAAATGTGTTGGCAGGCCAAAGAAAGCAAGAACATGACTAACACATAGCCCTCCTACAACCACATGATGTTATTATTAACACTAAAACTATACAACCCCTTAATTTGGGAGCTTTAGGGGCGTACCCAAACTGAGCGACCCTAAGTCCCACTCCTCTAAGTTACTGTTGCTAAGCTAGCCAAGCTTGACAAAAAGAAACATAGTGATGCAGCCAGGTGCTGCAGTGTTTGTAAGATAGACAGACAGCTGACAGCAAGGACCACAGTATGTGATGGAAGGATATACTCATTGTTAACTTTTATGAACCAGATACAACAGAAAGGGAGAAGTACAGAGGATGATGAGACTATCAGTCAACATTGCTCCCGCACTGCTGGGTATGTGTCCCCTTTTCCTCCTCTGGGGATCTGTAAAGTACTCTATGTATTTATTACTGACAACAGATCATGGTGCTGACCTAATGTTAGTCTCTTGCTGTAGAAAGTTACATT